TTTTAAATATTATTATTTTATTATTGTTACTATTATTATTATTGCTATTATTATTGATCCTATAACGATTCAGTTGGTTATGAAATATACTGATAAATACAAAAAATAATGAAAAATATACGGGTAAAACGCAGACAAATCCATTCCTTGCTCAAGATACTGATATTCCATTCCCTTTTCGTCATATCTCGTCTCGATTACATCCGACGACGTAGACTGTAATATTTAAAAGTCATACTATGATCATAGGATAGTCATTAATAAACAAACTAACTGGTAACTGTCGCACATCCATCAAGAATCCATTATACGACCATCCACCAAACTTCATTGAGCAAGATTGTTTATCGTATGGAAAATATTCGATATCAATCTATAATTATTCACATCATCAATCATCTAACTATACCCACAATTATAAATAGCAACTGTTATACTAACCGGACAAAAAGACTTATAAATACTTGGTGGTTTCCATATAACAGCACCTGTATAATGCACGAGGACATCACTTGTCACTGATATATGCGGTTCACCATCTGCACTGAAATAAATAAATAAATTAATTAATTAACAGATAAATAAACAGATAAATAAATTCATTATTTATATTTGTACATACTTATTATATAGAAGAACGTCAGGTATCCAAATCTGATCGCTAGGTATGTGCAATTTTTTAATGTTATTCCATTTACGAGGGTCCCAAGCCAGCTTATAATCGACCCATTGCTGAAAAACAATTTGCATTTTTACATGCGCAATTTAATAATAATAATAGCGACTATAATAAAAAAACAAAAGTAATGATAGTAAAAAATAACGATAAATCTATTACCATTTCAAGCCACAAATTAGTAGTCAAGACTTGATTCACTTCATCCTGTAACCTTATCAACTGATTAGCTGATTAATTGAGCGTTTTAAAATGTCTTTTAAGAATGGATTCAAATGATTTATGAGACGGATAATGAAAAATGTGAAGTGTCCTTATTTAACCAAGGTCAGAAAATAACAAAATTTGATTGATGTAATGATAGAAAGTGCATCATATTATAGATAGATCGGCACACAGATCAACCATAATATCAAAAAAACATTATATTATTTTATATACATGATCTGATCAACTAATAGCAGTTATATATTTGAAGGCTTTTCAGTCAATATATGATCTGAATTAAAGTTGCCTCAATAAACGTATACCTAGAAAGTACATCTCTGATAATAAAACGACCTCCTTTTTCGGAGTGCGTAAACAAATCTGAAATGACACACTGTCCCATATATCTTGGATAATGCCCTCCTTCCACCAACCGTTCCCCAATTATAAATTTAAGAACACCTCAGTTATCCATTAGTTTTAAAGTGTTATATGCATTCACTGTTTCAAGTGTCATTATCACGTTATCCGACAACTTTTTTGAACTTTCGTACGATCGATTCGTAAAATATGAATCCATTTGTTAAATTTGTTGAAACATTCACAGATAAACGTTATATTGCTTTAGTTGAAGGCTACTTCATTTCATTTGTCTCATGAAGTGGTAAATTACTTGCTGAGTGAATATTTGGGATTGTCGAGCGGTAATTGAGGGTTTGAAGGTCTTGTCGATAAATTTCAATTTTTTATCGCTGACGAATGTTTTCGCATTGTGTTTCATTGTAAATACTGATTGTGAGATTCATTATTTTTCTAAAATTAATAAATAAAGGTCTAAAAATACTTGTTTCAGTCCAGAAAATTAATTTCTTTTGCGTCAATGAGGATTTTCTGGATCGATTTTCGATTTGCTTCTGACGTTATGCGTGGAACTAGTAGATTTTTGTAGTGGGGAGAGGGGGTGGCCTGATGACCTCCCAGACCATCGAGTGGTTAATGCAGACTCCAAGAGTGAAAAGCACTGCTTTAGAACATTCATATTTGAAATGATATTCCATTTTTAGAGCATCCTTGATTGTATCTAGTCTTGTCATATAGCATATCAATGTCGTTATTTCTATTCACTGCTCTCACATATTCGNGTAGCAATGAGTAGACAAATGAATTGACTCTTCAGATTGTTACATGGAAATCTTGATTGTGACTCTGAATCGATGATTGTTCCGTTCAAGAATGAAATGATGCGTACATTTGGTTGTAGGCATCATTAAACATGATATTAGGTTCACGATATAACAATGACGGTGATGATCATACTCATGAGAATAACAGTAATGATAACAGATAATGGATGATCAATCGAGCAAATTTTACACTCGACTCACTGTGCTAACAGCAACACTGAGTTCGTTGAGTGTTGTTTCGCTAATGATTGCAATACCAACAATTTATTTCAAGGCGGATTATGAACGTGCCTTCATCTCAGATAGATCTCAAAAATTCAAGGTTAATATTATCGTGATATCTTAATGAGCTAGTAAATCACGCTCGAATGCAACTGCGTGTTTTTCATTGGCAAATTTCTGCTGGGAGTACATTTGATGATGCCAGAAGGAGGAATTAAAAAAGTTGGCATGTCACAATTGAGCATTTGTTCGTTTTTGTATGATGCTCTTTGAAATCATTTGTTTGATACCGTTTAGTGAAAGAGCAGCTTTGATGCAATACACTTATCATCAGATTGATTGAGAAGGGGAGGGGTGGTAGAGAATGACGGTTACTTGGATGAAAGGTGAGACAAGATTTCGAGAGCATCACAAGTTCATAAATAAGAGGATCAATCAAACAGACTGAAACGAACGAGCTATGGCAACGCATGACAACGTTAAGCAAGCCTCGATCAACAACATATCGCATCCAAAGGTCACCGTGGTCGAGAGTGACCTGTCAAGGATGTACTGCTCTCAGGTAATTATATCTAATCTTATCATATGCCCGAAGCTTCAAATCAAATGTTAATGCGTTCAGTTGCCCGATGGGTCCACCAGGTTTGAGTGGACGTGCAGGAGAAGATGGTACTCCAGGCACTGCTGGTAATCCCGGACCGGCTGGAGAGGACGGCTTCGATGTGGAACTGGCTCCTGAGGATGATCTGCCTTGTGTCATTTGTCCTGCTGGCCCACCTGGACAACGGTTGGATATACCCATTATTATGAATGTGTGCAGTGGTATAATAATAACAATAACGATAATAACAATAACAGTGATAATAAGTATGCAATAATAAATAATGTTTTTCAGTGGATTACAAGGAGAACGAGGTGAGACAGGCAGTAAAGGGATGAGAGGGCCAGCAGGTACACCAGGTTTGATGGGGGTTGACGGTCCTCCTGGATTACCGGGTGCTCCGGGGCCTATCGGTCCGAAAGGACCTCGAGGGGTTCGTGGCCCAAGGGGTGACGTTGCTATCGCAGGAGTGGGCATCAAAGGTCCCCGAGGACCTCCTGGACCTAGCGGCCCCAAGGGTCCAACTGGACCTCGCGGCAAGCCTGCCAAGATAGCTGGATTCGCTGGTAAACCTGGGTCGATCGGCCCCATTGGACCACCTGGAGAGCCGGGTAAACGAGGCGAGGATGGACCATGGGGCCCTCCTGGAGAACCTGGTTCGTTTATTTATTCATTAACTTAGTTGGGAGTTTAATCGAAGCGATTACTTGACTGATTACGTGATTGATTGATTAATTTACATGAATGAATAGGTATCACTGATATGATTGATTTAAAGGAATGCCCGCATCCTACTGTCCATCAGATTGCGGTGTCTCGCAGATACTAGCACCAGCATATGTTGACGAAGAACCAGTGAATTGAAAACAAATGAAAAACCAACCACATCAATGATTCGAATCAAAGACGCACCAAATTTCACCTTAACCGCACTACTCGCGTTCCTTACCGGCCGCACGTTCTTGTTATAATAATATAACAGATCTTCATACAACTGATCTGCATATCGACTACTTTCTGCTTCATCTGTTATATCATTGATTTTATCATTATTACGGTTGTTTTTATTATTCTTCAATAATATTATGTATAGTCATGATTGCAAACATCACTATTACTATTACTGTTACTATTAGTCAATTGATGGTACCCCAGGCACTGCTGGCATTATTATTATTGTTATTATTATTATTATTATTACTAATGTTATTATTATTACTATTATTATTGGCATTAATATTATCATACGTTATTATTACTTACGTTGGTATTAAAAGTTATTATATATCATTACAAATGGTATTGTTACTGTTATCATTGTCATTATTTTTTGAATTATTCAACGATGATAAGTGTTATCAAATAACAATATTATGAGATAGGTGAACGTATGCATAATTAACTAAATTAATCGAAAATCATTCATTTAAGACGTCAGACGTCTCTGACATATATAAAACATCTCTAAATGAATTGGGCAGAATTTGTAACGCGTGTGTTTTTCGGGCGTTTTTCAGTTTTAAGTGTAAGCTTGAAACCAAAATCGAGACTGAACATGAGTGAATATAATGCGTTACGAACTGACCCTTACCGATAAATGTGGCGAATTGGGCAAAAGGGACCACAAAGTAAAGCCTAGTCCGTAAGGAATAATTTCAGGAAACGCGATTAGTCGTCAGGCTTAGGTTATCTCATCAGCCAAACTGAACAGACCAATTGAAATCGCAACTCGAGTAGCTAAATGAGAAGCTGTGTGCAGCCTGGGCGATATTGCCCATTAGTGCGTGAAAACGATGCATGGGCCAATGTGGTCAAAGAATTAATTGGCTGTTTCCCGAATTTAGATTACAGCAGCGATTCTGGGTTATTGCACGCCAACTAGCGCTCAGTAAAATAACTATTTTAATGGGATGTGAGGGATATCTTTGGATGAAGGAAACGTTCCTTGACGAACATGAATCATTTTCTGTTGTTGCGTATATTATCATATTTTTTGTCGCATCATCCCGATGACCACATTTATCGGTAAGGGTCAGTTCGTAACGCATTATAT